TAAATGTGAATAGTCTATTTGTTTAATTACTCGAAAACTCGTCTCCCTTAATAATGCCAATAATAATATTACAATAACAACAACCTTGTCAATTTTTTGTGTCCGATATTCAAAGTAAACCCTACATTTTTCCTTGCGACCATACTCATGAATTCATACACATGAATTTTTGGCTAGAATTTTTGGCATAATTTTAAATGAGAGTTAATATAAGTAAAACAAGTACAATTTCAATACCACATTTAAAATTTTTCTTGTGTTAAAATTTTAATGAGGGCACTTGTACAATTTTATACATAACGTTACATAAATCAGGATTGGGGGTAGGTTATAAGATTTTAGACAGTAGGGGGTATGATTTTTCCTGCACTGCTGCAATGGTTTACCAAACCATAGTCTGCAACAACTGAAGCTAACGCATGCTCCTTAAAATAAGGTGGTCCAGCCAAAAATGTCCTTGGTTTTCTCTACGTATTTAACCTACCATGTATTGTCCAGCGGTCCATAGGTGTGTTGTCAATCCAAGTAAGACAAGTACAGACTCATTGGAGGCATAACCCTAGTACAACGACGACTTTACCCTATTCGTCTTTACTAATATTTTTTTACTTTTTTTTCATGACATCTTATCAACCATACTAATAACCATTTTGGTGTAAGAGAAAAGGAACGTTGTGTCAAAGTTAAACAAATGTTGATAAGGGAAGTAAAATAAAAAAAAATTAAAAATATAAAATTAAGTTCTGTTCGAAATTCCAGGTTTCAATTTTTAACCTTTTGTTCACAGTGTTAATTTAAAAGTCTCACATTTTATTTTATCGGGTAATAACCTTATCATAAGACGAGGATTTGCACTACAGCCATATAAGCGATTTAAGTATTTTTCTTTTTGGAATATTAGCTTCAAGTAATTAACTTGATCGATTATTAATATAGATTCAGTAACATCACTTAATTTTATTAAACTAATACGCATTCTCAATAATGAAATTGTTATTTCTGCTAACTCACTTTAATTTTTATAGTATAACATGAATTGAGTTATCACATTAATTTAATTTACAAGGTTTGATCAATCATTTGTTTGAAATGATAAACTCCCCAACCATCAACTCTGTTACTGATATCTCTACAACAGGATATTTGTTTTCTTTTCTTATACGCGTTGAAATAACTTGAAAAAAAAAATGGTTATCTACATCAACGTAGATTAGAATCGCAAATCTTCTGTAGAAGACCATCACTCCATTTGATCCAGTTTCAGGAGCACACTACTGTCAAACTTCTCTTTCACAACACATAAAGGTGTTGTCATCTAGTATTCAACTTGTATTGTCACATCCACATGGGTTAGAAATGTTGTAACTACAGAAGAAAACTACATCTACCTATGACACCACATTAAATGAAGAAGTACTATGTTATGTAATATAATTTAAACATTTTGTTCTTTTACTAACTTGTCCTATTCTTTTTTTTTTTTTTCAATGTAGGAGGGTTTAGGGTTAAATGGTTTACTATATTTTATAATACAATATATTGTTTTTGTCCTTTTACGTTTTTTTTTTATTTATAAAGCATAATTTAGGGTTATGGGTGTATGAGTATTCGAATACTTTAGGGTTAAGGGTTATAGAGTTGATGGAGTATGATGATTTATTGTTTTATATTTTATAATATAATTTAATATTTAATCAGGGGTTGATGATATGTGTTAATGTTAAAGGGATGACTATTTCTGATGGAATAATTGAGTGTATGCTATATCTGCTACGGTGTAACGGGATTGATCAATCTGGAAGGTATCATCTTTAAGGTGTGGTTCAATCTCATGGTTTAGTGTTAAAGGGTTCTATTGAATTGGATTGTTTAGGATTTAGGGTTTAGGATTTAGTGTTTGATAGAAATTGGGAGGGTAAAAAGGTTTGGTCGAATGGGAGGGTTTAGGCTTTAGGGTTGAGGATTTATCAAAGTTTTAGGGCTTAGAATTTGATATAATTGAAAGGGTTTAGTGTTTGATCGAATAGGAGGGTTTAGGCGTTAGGGTTTAGAATTTGATCGAATTGGAAGGGTCAACGACTTTTTTTCTAACTGGAGGGTTTAGATTTGAGAGAATTATAAGGGTTTACGGTTTAGTCGAAATGGAGGTTTAGGCTTTAGGGATTGGAGGGTTTAGTGTTTGATCGAATAGGAGGGTTTAGGCTTTAGGGTTTTGGGTTTTATCGAGTTGGAGGGGTTTAGGATTTTGTTTTAAAGGTTTAGGTGATTTGATTACAATATTTATTATTCTCTTTCACTCAAATTATCTAGCTTAATACAGGATCTAGCTTAATACGTGCTAAGCATAACGAACCATTAACGCACAAACGATATAATTGGAGGTATTAAATCAATGATATAATTAAAGGTATTAAATCTTGATTAATAAGGTTTTAGGATTACCTATTTTATTTGAAATATTAAGCTTGCATACATGAATTGCACGTACTTCGATGATATGATTATTAGAGGGTTCAAAATCAACGATTGAATTAGTAACCATAAATTTATTTATAATTTCAAACAAATAACTAGTACGTACTGATTACTAATAAAATCACCATGACTCTACTAGCATTTCGAATGTGATAACTATAGCATTTCGAATGTCATAATTACACCCAACTAAATTTTCTAATAGGAAAAAAAATTGATCTACTCAGTCCATTGTTCTGACAGATTCGAAGTTGTGTTAAAGTATTTTATCCAACGATTTTCTTGTACGAGAAAAGAGCTTCCCCCTACTCAACAATATTTCCTGAAAATCTTTCCCCCTACTCAACAATATTTCCTCAACAATATTTTGTTAAACTCAACAATGGAGTACGGTGAAAAACAAGCTCCCAATTCAGCCACCTCGAGTAGGAAGCGATGCCTACCTAAAGCCACAGTACTGTCCCTGCCAAATTTATGTAGGGTTCTCTCATGTAGTGTATATCTATGGTGAACTTCTTATACCCTCCTCCCAAGCAACCCCAAAAAATGGCCAAAAAGAAAATGTTAATCCCAGTCTCTATGATTAAGCCACTCCAAAAAAAACCTTGTAACAAAGAGTTCCTACTCAAACCGATGACACAAATTAAAAAAACAAAGGGTTTGCATATGGTTCGCCCTTGTACACCCAACACAACGACAATTGTAAGGCGTCGAAAAGGTGTGCTTGGCGTCATTAACAGCCCAATTGTTACTTCGGATGGGAAGGTTGCAATATCCTTACTTGATGCGGCAACTGCAACACAAGTAATCGCCGGTAAGACTAAGCTTCAAGGAGATCTCATTGTGATCACTCCCTCTAATAAGGTTAGTCCTGCTCACTTACCGGACTTATCAGACCTTGCTTTATTACCAAAGTCGGCCAAGTATTTTCTCAAGTGGCTCATCTGTACCGAAGGTGGGAAGGAAGGGTGTGGTTATGAACATGTGCTACCAAATGGTGTGGTGGAGGTGGTTGATCCGCCGTCAGAATTACCATCTACCATCGAAAGTTGTCATTTGTCTCTCGGTGATCATGTTATGACGATACCGAGTTACAGAAATGACTTCAAAATTTTCACTCTCCAACATCCGATGTATGTCTCGCACATACATTTAATGAGTAGCACCAACACCTCTAACATATTATATGGAAGAAAAATAGAGATTAAGGTGCAAGTCTGTGTGAATGAGGATGTCAGTTTTTGGAGGGAAGTGAGCACAATGGGATTAAGGTACGTTGTATGGAATTGTCGTGATATGGGTAGAGACACATTCCTTCCCTTAATGAGGTTGGTAATGGAGTTGCATATGCCTCATTTCATGATCTTAACTGAAACAAGAGTTTCGGTTCATATGGCACGCCTCATATGTGCGTATTTGCACCCTTATGCCGTGTATGGAATGTCAAAGAACGACTATGAGGGAGGTTATGTAATGCTTTCCTTTACTAAGAATATGTCATTAAAACTGATAAGCTCATTTCCTAATGAGTATTGTTGGGCTTTTGATAAGCACAATTAATGTACTATGTGGAAGTGACAGTAAGAAGTGGATGTGCTCTTAAGAGTTGTAATATTCAATATTCCATCAAAATTACTCTGAGTAGTAATGTTTAATATGTATTCAAACTTTAATGCAGAATTTAGTAATTACTTATGAGTTGTTCATTTCAAATATTAAATATTAAATTTTATGCGTAATTAAGAGTAATTTAGTTATATTACTAACATTAATATGTTGTCAAACATTAATATAATTATGCTTATTTCAAATATTACATATATAATTTTATGCGTAATTATGAGTAATTTAGTTTATTAGACGATAATATGTCATATTAAAAATTGGGTTGAATTTGAAAGAACGAGTTATTAACTTGATTTGCCCAAATTATTTCCTTTTCAATCCACAAAGCCCCAAACAAGCCCACATCATTTTGTTTTAAAGCCCAAATTATTACCAATCACTCCACAAATGGATTATAAGGTTTATAATAGGTTTGAAATTGGGCCTACCCCAATTTATTAATATCCAACAGGTACTCTTGTAATAAAACACCTTTCTGAACAGGCCATAATAAAGAAATCATCTAAATAGCCCATTAATTTGGTTGGACTAAAGAACTTATAAATTTGTGTACAACAACAGTCAGATAAATGATGTTTCCATAGATAACCCAATACATGTTATACAACATTATTACATTAAATTAAAAAAATTAACAACTCATAATGAAAGTAATGTACAAAAGGGTTACAATCTGTTATCAGCTCCACAGCATTTGATACATTTGACATCGTTTTTAATGATCACATTTCTAGTACTGTCTCCGAAGGCCAGCCCATTGCCAAACACCTTATGCGTTTCGTGGATCAGATCAACAATGTTGCCAACCTGAATCAAAAAAAGGATTCAGAGATCAACATAATTACTATCAAATATCACTGACAGCATGTACTACCAACTCACATGTACTAACAACTCACATGCTTCTTAATCACTTTCAGCATCGGGTTCCATGAAGTACAGTGTACGACGTATATGTCTTGTGCATGGCCAGGTTTTACAAAAACACATATAGTACATGGCGCAGTGGAGGCCGCTACTGAATCACCATGAACCTAATAAATATTCAGGAGTGATTATTAGACAAGTACCACACAAGTAATATCAAGTTATGAGGACGGTGGATTGTGAAGTTAACATTACCTCCGATACAATGGCCAAGTAAGCACAACATTGAGTACGTAAAAACCCAGCTATTGACACTGTGGACATTGATTCAGCACCAATACCACCAGAAAATAGCACCACCTCACCCGCCAACGAAGATATTAACGGACCCGTTCCAGAACAATAGTCCATAGCATGAATCCATCTCAAAACCTTTTGAATATATAACCAGTAAAAAAATTAGACCTTTATGCTCAGTATCATTTAGGATTTCATACAGTTACTTACCCTTGAAGTAACTGATTGTAGCATGGACACAACATCAGCAGATATCCACCTAAAAATTTAATGGTGGTACCATTCAGCAAAAGATAATCGAAGCAACAACAAATCAATGAATTCATGTAATAAAAAAAGAGAAATACCTCTTCAACATATCCATTTTGAAGGTTGACACATCATAAGTGTTCATCACTACCATGTTCTCTACACCAGCATATTTCATTGCCTTCTCCCCATTAAATTCATCTGAGTTAATAGATCTAGCACTTGCTTTCTCCCCTTTACAATCATCCGTGTTAAAAGATGCAGCATTCCGCATATTCGACCATTTTTTTGAGGTGCTTTTTCTTGCTCCCTTCCTCTTGTAACAAACACTAGCACTGCCACTACAAAGAACCTGTTACATCGTACACCATTGAACTACAACATTACAAACTTGCATAGATCTACATCCTTTGAACTAAAGACATTGTAAATTAATTAGCTATTAAACCCCTAACCTTTTTTAACCCCTCAGGCCCATTGGTATCTCTTGCCTCACTAGGATGCATTTCACCATAGGCAACATCCAAAGTCTACAATAACAAACCACAGTAGAACCATCACACACTTGGTTTAACTAATATATAAATAGCTTTACGACTTTTGCTTACCCCAAGTTTACCAAAATCACCAGAATTTGGGAAACGATCTTCCGTAACTGCTTTGCGTATCTCATCCATCTTCCAAACCTCCTAACGCGGGAAAAAACCCCACTGCACAGGATGTCTGTATAGCCGATCCAGATACATAATCTGTATCAAACACGTTTGGTATTAAACCTGTATCAAACACGTGTTACAAAAAAATAACAACCAAAAATTAACATATATATCACATACCACAATGTATATTAGGCAACCTGCACAACCACTAGCATAGCCACTTGAGTAAAACCGTCGTGCAAACATCGCGACACTATTCATGAGCTTCTTCAAAACTAGGCTGCACCAGTCATATTGAGCAGCCTTTGACGCACACGTTAATGATGGCACTAAGTCAGCAGCCAATCTAGATGATTGATTAGGACATAACAACATCTCTAGCGCCAACAACAAGAATACAGTCTTGAACTCTTCCGCCTGATCATCCTCCCATTGTCCCTCAACCCGGGCAATCAAATCAGCATTAACTTGAATACCCTCGAATATGTACTCACGACCAGTTGTAGAAGACTTAGTTTTCCATGTTTTACCATACCTATCCATAATACTTTTCACTCTTTCAAACATTTCACTACCCATTGTTTCGTAAGTGGGAACAGGAAGTCCACCATTGGGAATGCCAAGAACCCAATGCACTTGATTTTGAGAAAGCTTGAAAACTCTACCCTCTCTGCTAGTGAGAGTACAATTGAAGGGATCTATACGAGTCATCAACCAATAAGCCAACTGTCTTGGGAGGTTAATTTCTCCTATTTTTAAGAGACCGTCAAACCCCATTTCACAAACCCACCCCTTCCTTTGTTGGTCTAACTTTTGACATATTCTACCAAACGACTCTACGCGACAACTTGTATTAGCTGGCTGTAAGCATGAACAATTACAAACAACAGGTTTCATTATAACGGTTACCATTACTGCTAACAACTCACTCACCCCTCCATAAATATGGAATTAAGGACTTACCCTAGATGTTGCCTTCGCATGTCTTTGCAACACTTCGCCTTTCCTTTTCACACAGCCGCCCAGAGTTAAAGAATCATCCTACAACATCAAGCCACTAAATAAGCCCCATTACCAAATTAAGTTCCAACTACCAAATACAATCTACTTATTACCTTGATTAACTCAGGAGAAAGCTTCTTCAGGGTAGGTCCTCGTCCTACTCCATCCTAAAATGATAATTAATTTGAGAATATCTACACAAACTGTAGGGTAAATCTGGTCTACTCCTGTTTCAGATTTGTGTGCAAAAATTATACCTCATCATCACTCCGGGTGCTGCACGTTTTACGCTTCCTGTACCCTCCCTCCATTTCCGCTTTAGAACTGTTAGTTCAATTCAATTCACAATTACTAATGTAAATAACCATGGCAATTCAATGTACAAATTCAGCAGTTTGTTCAAATCAATTCACATTTCTTATCATCGCAATCAAATGTGTTTCCTGTTTGTTCAACTTAATTCAGTGTACAGTTCTATTAATAATTACACAGCCCAATTTCATGCCCAATTTCATGCCCGATTCAACCCACAATAACTATACGAACCTATGACAATTAACACAACTTAATCTCACAACTATACAGCAACATCGATGCGATTTGAAAACAACAACAATTACACAACTTAATCATCTCAACCTACAATCACAAATATACAGCAACATCGATGCGATTTGAAAGCAACAACAATTCGTTCCCCCACTTCATACTGAAATAGGCGAAAAGACATTCACACCCCCTTATAAACAAGTTTTGTTTATAGGCCATATTAACCAGTATTTTCTCTTTTTTCTGTTCATCATTACAGAGTTCTAGAGCTTTCACAACCAACCACGAACACTTAAATTCTTCAATATCAGTTCCAGTCTGAAGTGTAAAGCATAACATATAAGAAACTCAAATAAGCAGACATATTACATTTTAAGAATGCAGTGGCAGTTAGTTTGAACCCTTGCTCACCTTGCCATTTCCAGGTTCTCCAAAACAATTAAGATAGTCAACCTATAACAGAAGAAATTAAGCATCAAATTTTTAAAATTGAACACAAATAGACCTATCAGAAATAATGATGTCTGTTTTATTTGTCGAACTAGCTTGTGTTTGAATTTATACACATTCTCTCTTCCTGCTCCACATGGAGATCGAACAAAATGTTGTAAAAACAAAAACTAACATGAACTTGGAAATAATTTCCTATGTCAATTAGAATGCTTTTGGCATTAAGATGATCATCAAGATTTTCTTCAGACATAAGTAAAGCACATGCAACCTGTAAGTTTAAGGAAACATGTCACATTTCACCAGGATTAGTAATAAATTACCTCCTAATCGAATTAAAAAAGAAAAGATCGCGGATCACCACTATGAAGCTTATATAACTTAGCTCAAAAATGGTAAATTATAACTTAGGTTTTACACGAAGGTAGTATAAACGATTCAGTTTGACAGTTTTCGACTTCAATCAACTAAGGTCATGTACATACCTATAATGGTACATATGTTAGCCACCTTTTCCTCGTTACTAAATTAGTCTTTCATTTATACGAGGCTTGATGCATTTATCACATACGAAGTACATTCTACTCTTTCAAGATATGCAATCGAAAAACTCTGTATTTTGCAGCTCAGGAAGCCAGGTGGCAAAGGCATAAGTGGTGCAGTAACAGCTCAAAGTGCTAAAAGGGAGCTGAAGTATACCGAATCATGTTACTAAGCACTGATCATGCAGTACAAAAGCTTAAACAAACTCTAAGGAAAAAACTTACCCCTGAATCACTTAGAGTTATAGTGATAACTTATAAAATTGAAAGAATTTAATCAAAAACAAGAAATATGCGTATGAACAGTATATGACATAGTTCAAGAATCAAACTTACAGATAGATAGCATGAGTAGCTAGCAGTTTTGTACAGAACAATGCGGCGATGACTACATCAGGGAAAATGAACTTAGAAATGTTAATTAGATATATGAGCAGTTAAATTTATGTAAAGTTATAAGACAAAGGAATAGAGGAATGATTTAGCTCTACTAACAGATCCAATGAATATTTTGAAAGATCTTTTTCTTCTTCTAAAGCAGTAAGCAGACTGTTCATTTGTCCATAGGCAGTCTGAAATTCAACCTGTAATACACAGGACACGCGTAACATATATGCATAACTATATTAACATGTAGCGAAAACTGTATGTAACCTCAGACCAAGCAAAGCATAACTACCTCATTAAACAAATCCAAGAGTTCCACATAATACTTCTTATTTCTGAAATGCTTCTTGAGAACTCTTTGAATTTGATGTCGAAGTATAACACCACCATTAGCAGCCATCATGCGAATCTGAAAGGGGTAAGAACAATCCACTTACAGCAGATTTTACAGCTTATAATGCCTTCTCAAGAAGACTGAATGTAACCTAGGATATATACACACCTTTGGATCTTTGAACCATAAAGGCCAATCTCTCTTTGTATGATGCTTTTCCAAATATTCACAAAGAAGAAGGAAATATGATTGAAGCTAAACAAACAAATTTTTAATAGTTAGTCAACCCTCTGTAAGTAATGAGTGATTATTATACAACAGAACATACATACGCGAGGCATAGTTTATGTCTATACCCATTCGATACACCATCCAAGTGCAGAAGCAAGAAAGATTTCATCATCAGTTAGTTCTTTTCCATCTTTCAAGAGCTTGTAGCTGTCAATAACAGAAATCCCTCGACTTAACTTCTCTGCAGGTCAAATGAATCGAAAACAATTCGTGAGCTAACAAATTCATAGAGACATTATATCAAGGCAAAGATAGTTTACAGAAATTTTTGCAATAGTTAAGACAGAGATTTTTAAAGGTTCCTTACCTCCTGAGCTGTCCTGCTCCAGCATCTGAAACACGGTGCAGAATATCAGACATAGATTTCTGCTCAATATATTCATTCAATCTTTTTATAATCCGTGTTCAAGCATTATATATAGGAATATGATTTGGTATCTAACTCAAGCCTTAATTTGAACACTATCAATACTTAGCTTTGGCCTGGTATGATTTAGATGTAATACTAGAATGGAAATATAAATCAGAACAACATGCATATTTCATAAATAATTCATCTTTTTCTATCAATGGAACTCACAAAAGAACTTTAACACTACTAATCAGTTGAGGTTGAGGTAGTGGGATAGTGGTTTCGCTCCTTACCCCAGATCCCCTATGGTCTATGGATCAAATCTTACGCGACTCATTTGATAGATTGATTCCCCACACATGCCTTGGGTGATCCCTTAGCTTTTTCGTTCTTACCCAAAAAAAAACAAATGAAACTAACTTAACTATGATGAAACATATACTTTGTAGTATATATGCATAATTGTATGTGTTTCAACTTAACTATGATGAATCATATACTTTATAGTCACAAATTCTTGATTTGTTTTGAATGTTTATGAAGGAGATTAATAGTTAAACAAATGTAAAAGGGATTAATGTACCAATATAAATCAAATGTAAAAGAGATTAATGTAGCAATATAAATTCCCAAAAATTAAGAAAGAGTGTAAACATATACAAAAACTAAATAAAGGAAGAAAATAATACCAAGAAAACTAAGTAAAAATCATTGAAAGCATGGTCAACCCATTTTCGAGAAATGTCAATCCCATCAAAAGCAGGGTCATTCATGAGTTCAGATTTAAGGATTTGGTAAACATCAAGAAACTTTGACCTCAAATTATCGCTCATTTTTCTTTTTCTTTCGTGCAACAAACAATTAACCTGCAACAAGAACAAGAAAAAACTTTAATGTCTTGGTGTTTTGTAAAATGTCAACGTTTATGTCTTCTACTCTTCTTAACTTGCTGAGTTGCTAGCTAAGTGTATTTCTTACTCCTTCCATTTCTTAATTAAACGCCTTCATTTTCGGGAAGGAGGGGAGGAAGTTCCTACGGAGTTTGAATGACTCATTTCGAGTATTGGCGGTAGGTAGTTTTGTTAAAATAAGGTGACCTTTATGTCATGTTAGCTTCGATACCACCATGTTAGGGTACCAACTCAACCAAAAGTTTATACTGATGTTTAAGACCTATGAATACATTTAATGATCTATTATTTATGGAATTTGACCCTAAATCTTGAATATCAAGTTTACTTTAAACCAACACAATAGTTTTAAATCTAGTCAGTCAATCTATCTAGCAACAATTGATTACAAAATTTTCTTGTACTACATGAAATGTGCTCGACTGTTTGTATATACTAGTTTGTAGCTGATTGCATTTCAAGCAAAGCCAAAGGAACTTGACTTCACGTGGCATTAGTTGACTCAACCGTTAACAATTTCATAGTTTCCTTCGAACTGATCATATCATTGCTTGATTAATAAAGAAAACATGGCTTTAGCTTGTTTGTGAAGCGGTTATCATCATCCATCCCACTTTTTAAGCAACATTTAAGAAGCAAAATGCATGTAATCTAATAATCCCTTCGTCCCACTAAGATCATCTTACATACTAAAATTATTGGATTTTCTAATGAGTTTGTTCCATCTTTTTCTAAGTACATTTTTACAATGCGATGATAATCCATGATGAAAAGCACCTCTTTGCCAATTCTCTGATGTCAGAAAATCACGAGTTAGGCCATGTTCTTTTAAGTTTTAGAGTTGAGTAGGTGTCAGCAAAGCAAAATATTTATAATATGTGTAGCAAGGCTTAGTAGAGCACAGCAAACCACAACAACTTAAAATAATCAACAGGGCCTTTATTACACGTACTACACAAACATATAGATATGTTGGGTTAATCTTCCCCGTAATTATGTAGTCCAGAATCGGACAAGTGGCACCTTCTTGCAAAAAAGAAGAAAAAAAAATTCTTGCCAAATTTTTCTTAAAAATGTAGTTTCTCACAAAAAATTATATTTAGTAGCAATAAGAGGTCATTTTGTCAAATTTGGTTTTAAATTAGTTAGGCTATTTAAAAGGTAGTTTCTCTCTTTAAAAAAGAATAAGGGTTTGTTCAGTTCAGTAGTTCAATTCCTAATTTCCTTCTCTCATAAAATATTCATTCCAGCTCAGTTCAGTTCAGCTCCATTCAGTTCATTTCAATAAATGTGAACATCCTCAGCTTAGACGTATATTGTGTAAGTTTGAATATGCATATTCAAACTAGTTTTCCCAGATCCTTTTGGGGCCGGCCTTAGCAATTGGCTTGATGAACATCAAGAGCCGCAAGCTGCGTCTCCACTCCAAGTGGGCTCGCCATCTCCTTCTCTGGGTTCTTCATTCCCCACTCATGTTTCTGGTGAGTCAGGGTATTAACCCGACTCTTCTTCTGGGGGTTTCAAATTTTCACACTCTCCACTATCAGTCAATTACTCTCCTGATGAAACAACAGTTGATTCACCGGCGGATTTAGAGGTGGATTCGGATGAAGCCATCCCCATGGATTGGTCACCGCAACATGCTCCTCTAAACCCGGGTATCCGCATCAATGACACATCACCTCCCGTATCGAACTCCGGTAAACAGGCGGTTCCCTTGAAGCTGAAAATGGTTAAGGGAAAGGAAAAAATATGGAATTGGGTTCGAACTTCTTGTCCTGCAAAACGGCTAGCATCGATTTCAGAGCCAGACACTCCACCAGCAATACCTTCTCCAAAGTGTTTAGCCTGCCTCAAACAGATAAAACGGCGTAAGGGTTCTGCGGGTTCGCCGGTTTCTGTCTCTGATTCACAGTCGAATTCTGCTTCTGATGAGGTTTCGGTGGTTCACCTTCAAGAACCGCCACCTCAGCCATGAATATTGGCGCTTGGAACTGTAGGGTCCTCGGAACGGCGGACTCCCCTAAAGTTCCATACCTAGCTTCACTTGTCCGCTCTTTCTCTTTAGATATTATGTTTATAACAGAGACTTTTGTTGGGCTTAATGCTGCTGTACATAAGCTTAGTTCTCTTAAGTTTGATGGTTTTTGCGGTTTGGACTCATGTGGTCTTAGCGGCGGGTTGGTAGTGTTTTGGTTTTCCCCGCTTAAGGTAGTACCTATTGTAATGACCTCTAATGTAATCTTTTGTGAAGTTTGTACTCAAAATGAAACAAAATATATTATGTTTGTGTACGGATCGCCTCACTTTTCGGATCGTTGATCTGTTTGGGCAGAAATTTCAAATCTTTTACAGAAATATCAGAATGTGATTCTTATAGGGGATTTTAATCAAGTTGAGTATAGCTCGGACAAAGTGGGAGGTTCTAAATTTATTGCTGGTCAAAATGAGTTCAAGGATTGGAAGCTTGATATTGGTCTTTTAGACATTCCTTTCTCAGGCCCGGAGTTCACTTGGACTAATGGCCATAATAATGGTGATCCTACATTTGAACGCCTTGATAAAGCATATGCTACTCACAATTGGCTTCTTGATCATCCAGACGCCTTCCTTCTTCATCAGCCCATTCTCTTCTCGGATCATGTGGCTGTTATTCTTCAGGAAAATGCTATAGCAGTACACCGCAAACCATACAGGATTGATAATTGGTGTCTGCTATCAAAAGAAGTAGCCACTATTATATCACTCTCATGGGCTTTGGAATGTAAAGGTTCGCCTATGTTTTCCATCTCCCGAAAACTTGAGGTTTTACGTTCTAAATTACTTAGGTGGTGCATCTCTCATAAGAAACTGTGGGGTATTAATTGGAAGGAGTTGCATTCCTCTATCTCTCCACTAGCTGAGCAGTTGGATTCTAAGCTTTATAGGATTCTATTTTTATCCGTCCGGGACGAACAGGTGGTTCAGGCTCAAACGGCCCATATTTACTGGAAACAACGAGCAAAGGTCAAGTGGGATGCTTTAGGGGAAATGCATTCTCATCTTTTTATTCTCCTATGTTCAAGCTCGCAAGCGTCAAAACAAAATCCAGGGGCTTCAAGACACTTCAGGTAATTGGATTCATGATCAACAGGGTATCCAAAGAGTGATTTTGGATTATTTCTCTAACCTGTTCAAGTGTAAGAATACTCGTCCTTCACCTCCTGATTTTGACTGGTCGGATCTCGACCTCCCATCTCTTTCGGATTCTGATAAATGCGAGCTTATGTCCCCTATTTCCGCTGATGAGGTCAAGCAGGCAATGTTTAGCGTAGATGATTCCAAATCTCCTGGTCCGGACGGTTTCACTTCAGCATTTTTCAAATCCTACTAGGCAGTGGTTGGCCCCTCAACTATTTCAACGGTGCAATACTTTTTTCTTCATGGTCATATGCTTCGTGAGTGGAATCGTACCTTTATTATTCTCCTTTCGAAGGTTGAGCAGCCCAAGCAGCCCTGCCAGTTTCTAACTATTGGCTTATGTAATGTTCTTTACAAATGTATAGTCAAATGTATTTCTTTTCGTCTGCGAAAAGTTATCCCCTCCTTAGTCTCAGAATGCCATAACGCTTTTGTTCCCGGAAGGCTCATGGCAGATAATGGTCTTCTTTCTCATGAAGTTCTTTCTTATATGAACTCGTCGCGAGGACGGACTATGTCGGCGGCTTTAAAGTTAGATATGAATAAAGCATATGACAGAATTGACTGGGAATTCCTTTGGAAAGTTTTACACGTGTTTGGTTTCCCTCCTTACTGGATTCACATTATCAAGCAATGTGCTTCCACAGTTTCGTATCAGATCCTCGTCAACGACAATCCTACAAAGGTTTTTAGACCCATCCGCGGTCTTCGCCAGGGTGATCCTCTTTCTTCTTATCTTTTTTTTCTTTGTATGGAGATTTTTTCGGTTATGATTCGAAAGGCAGAACGTGACAATCTTTTCCGGGGGGTTAAGATCTCTCGCCACGCTCCATCAATCACACATCTGTTCTTCGCTGATGATTCTCTCCTGTTGTTTCAGCCGTCCCCTGTGTCTTGTGCTAATGTGCTTCAGGTGGTTAATCAATTTTGTGATCTTTCTAGTGAGATGGTAAATTTGCAGAAGTCTTTTGTCCGGTTCAGTGCTAACGTTACTTCAGACTTCCGAGATTACCTGGCCTCCACATTACATCTCAAGGTTGTTCCAAATCTGGGTCCCTATCTAGGTCTCCCTGTTGATCTGGGTAGGAGACAAATGCCAGGCCTTTCAGCCTCTACTTGACAGGATTTCTTCCCGTCTCACGGCATTTGCTCCCCTTCATATTTCACCCTCGGGAAAGCTAGTAATCATCAACTCTGTTTTGGTGGCGTTCCTTAATCATGTTCTTTCGGTTTTTAAAATTCCTGCCTCCATTACGGATAAGATTAATAATCTTTTGGTTCGATTCTGGTGGAGGACATCTGTGCACTCTAAGGGTTTGGCCTTTGCTCCGCCTTCCCTTTTGTTCACTCCTAAAGGTATGGGCGGTTTGGGTATTCGTCATTTAGGGGTTTTTAATTCTTCTCTGCTCGCAAGGCAATCTTGGCGTATTTTGCAGAACCCTCAGTTTCTTCTTTCTCGGGTTCTCAAGGCGAAGTATCCTTCCCTTTTTAGTATTCGATCTTCGGAACGTCTTCCCCGTTCATCCTGGGGTTGTAAAAGTATTTTGGAAGGTTTTAACATCTTACGGTCTGGTCTCGGTTGGAAGGTGGGTAATGGTTCTCAGATTCGAATTCTTCAGGATTCTTGGGTGCCTGGTGTTCCGGTTCACTTCAAGAGTTCTTCTACTGGTTCGGTTCAGCCGACACTGGTGTCTTCTCTTCTAGATCCCAGCACTAACGCTTGGGATGCTACTTTAGTGCATTCTCTTTTTCCGCCTTCCACAGCCGTTAGGATCCTCAGTCTTGAGCGTCCTTGTAGGTGTCGCTCAAAGTGTGCCTACGTAAAAGCATGTTGTGAATATGCTTGGCACTCATAGGAATTGGGAATTGACATAATACGATTAGGGACAAGGAAAGTAGGGAGCCGCCAACAAGTTTTTAAGGAACTTGTAAACCGTTCACGGATCATAAAAGGCAACCATGATAAAGGGACAACGAAGGCAACAACGATTGACCCGTGAAGGTTACACCCCATTCATAATCCATGAGATTACTAACTCCATATGGTTCGGAACCACGAAAGGAGGATCGGGGATGATGGTACGAAGTGAGTCATGGAGTCACGTTCGCCCGTATTGGCCTCTACTCGACTCTTATAGTGAAAAGCATTTCTTGATCTCAAAGGCATACAAACAATAATTCAATTCGCTCCAAACTATTATTTAACTAAATTGGTTCAAAATTAATGCACACATAATTCTAAAAATTTGGTGATCACTTCAATTAAAAATAAGATTAAAAGGAACCTAAACCGGTTGTCCAAATTATCTTATTAGGCGTGATTTTCAATCACATATTCCCTTTAACATGCAATATGGTGATCAATAAAAATAATAGAATCAACATTAATATTAAAACCAATTTAATCATAATCCCAACAACATAAAATTGTTAGAAAAATAATAATAATAATAAAAGAGCATGATCCTTACTTTGAATCTCTTTGTTTGCAACTACAAAATAATAAACGAGTTAGTAACTTTAAGGAAATAATAAAACAATAACTAAATTAAATTAAATAAAACTAAAGTTGATTTTGGGGCCAAACCCTCAAACGATTCTACCTTTCACGCCTTGGCTTAAGGACAGAATCTCGAGTAAAATATGGACTCCTTTGAGTGCTTGAAGAAGGAATTTTGAAGTGAAAAGGGTAGGCTAGTGTTTAGGTTAAGAGCATAGAAGAGAGAAAAATAAGAATAATCGAATTCTGATTGCCCCGTACATAAAAAATGAGGGGGTATTTATAGGGAAATGTGCTGAAGGAGCACACGGAACCCTAAAATGATAAAAACCCTAAAAAAGTATCCCGTGACACGGTCAGACTGTACCGTGACACGGTCAGACTGTACCGTGACACGGTCAAACTGTACCGTGACACGGTTAGATTGTACCGTCAGACGGTACAAGTGCCCGTGACACGGTCAGTTTTGGAGTGACGCGGGAAATTTTCAGAAAACGGAACGGAAAACGCGTCAAGGGTTTACGCGGAAAGGACACGGAACTTTCCGTGTCACGGCAGACCTCCCGTGTCACGGGAAGTCCCACCGTTAGACGGGAAGACATTTTTAGGTGTCTACAGTCCTCCTTAGCCCATGGATGATTTTGTTTACTGGAAATTTACTAGGGATGGCAACTTCTCAACTAAATCAGCCTATGCTCATGTCATTCAATCTTTACATCAGGTCTCGTATCCGACCAATTTTATCTTGCCCTTGACCTGGGCTAGGCTTTGGGCCCTTCCTATCCTTCCTAAATGGAAAATTTTCCTTTGGAAGATTGTTCACGACGCCCTTCCAGTGGCAGCAAAACTGCGGGATAAAGGCCTCCCTGTGGATCCATTATGCTCCTTTTGTCATCAGGTTCCGGAGTCCTTGGATCATTTATTACTCCATTGCCCCTATTCCATTCGTCTCTGGGCTTGTGGTCCTTTGGGTATTCGGCCTCCATCCCCGGATACTCCGTTGCTGCACTGGTTCTTCCCACTGCTTGTATTGGTTATTAAGCTTGGAGATTGGAACGGGTTGGACTCCATTCTTTCCTTTGCCTGGGCAATTTGGGTTCTTCGTAACAATATTCGTTTTCGATAGGAGGAGTATTCCCCTATCTCTGTCTTCCGCATTGCTCAGAACTGGTGTTCTAGAAGCTCTGATGCTCGACTTCACTTTACTCAGCCCTCTCCTTTACCCCCAGGTTTTGGGTTTCAGATTCAGTCAGTTTATCTTCGTCGGGAGGGTAATGCTTCACCGACCGTTGTTCTTCTTATTGATGGGGCTTGGGATTCCAGAGATTGCAGAGCAGGTGCTGGTTGGTGTTTTTATTCTATGGACACAAATTCGGATCTTGGTGGCGGTGCTCAGGCATGTTTTGCTATTTCGGCGTCTCATGCGGAACTTCTGGCTTGTTTTTTTGCCCTTAGGATGGCAAGTCAGCGTGGCTTTTCTAAAATTCGCATCCACACAGATTGTACGAATTCTCTTTATGCCCTAAAGAATGATTCTCCTTTAGACATCTCTACAATTTGGGTTCGGCAGCAGATCATCGATCTCCTTCCCGCTTTTCAAGTTTGTATTCTCCAGAAGGTTCCTAGGCATTTGGTTCTCCCAGCTCATCAACTGGCGGGTTCTGCTAGGATGCGGCATTTACTTCATTATGTGTACTAGTTTCTTTCTTTTCGTGTTAGCCTTTGTCAAAAAAAAAAAAAAAAAAAAAAAAAAAACCTAGTTTTCCATCAACTCTAAAACAATACGAATGTTTTCTCCCCGATCAACCTGTTATCGATCTAGCTAAAAATGGACCCGTCCACAAAAAAGAATCTCAATTCGAAAAGTTGGCCCTTTTGTGTGTTTGTACACCTTAGAATGAAGTTAGAAGGTCTCGTAACAACCTTTTTTTTTTTTAATTTTTTTTTTTTGGGTCATTCAATTTTGAGAGTATGGTGGTGGTGGTTGTAGTCCTTTCGCTTGAGGATAAATTAGCATACATGCATGGGAGCTTCTTTGTATATTCCTAGCTACTAATATGATGAAGTGGATATATTATTATTCTAATTTCTACATCTAATTAAATTCATTCATCAACTAGTCTAGTCTTCCCACCACCCATCTCAAACATTATTTTTAATAAATCAAATATTCAATAATTAATTACTTTGTAAATTTATTTATTTTTTTTAAAAAAAGACTAGTTCTATGCTGGATGGAAGACTTAGGTACAACTAACTACCATATAAATATAATAATATGTGCTACTATAGTCTAAATACATGTGAAGCCTAGTAAGTTAGTACAAAAATGAAATTATTTAGTCCAACTCCCAAATTATAATAAGCTCATGAAAATGACATTTTTGGAAACAAATAAAAGTTTAATTAAATTATAGGCAACTTGAGTTTGAGGGGTAGACTAATTAAAAGAACAAACATATTGAGTTCACAATGTTATTATTATGTTCTAAACAAACATAATTCAAGAGAAAAATAAAGCAAAAAATTAGCTAGTGAAAGGCTTTAGGTTGCCTTTGTGGTGGTAATGGGGAAGCTGTGTTGTTCATCGGAGGACGACGAGACGAATTTCACCGGACTCTTGATTGTCGCGTTCGTTGCTGTGATGCTGTTCTATGTCTGCCTCCAAGAACCACCTCGGCGACGTGTGGTTGCCGTGTACCGATGCTATTGATAAGTTTGTGACCGATTGTCTTTTCTTATGTTTCTTGAAATTTTATGTTTTCATATATATCAATTCCATGTAAAGATCAGTGCATCTATATATGTTATTTTATTTATAAGATGATCATCTTTACATTCAATTTTATATGTTTATTTTAGCTAGTAATTAAGCTAGATAAAACCTTAAGCATATAAGTCCCAAAAAAAAAAAAAAAAAAAAAAAAAAAAAAAAAAAAAAAAAAAAAAACTTGAGCATCTTTCAATTGATGAAATATACAAGTATATAGTAACATTACAATTTGGAATTGAAGGGATGATTCAAATGTTGGTGGTGCAAGTGTTGTGCACGTACATGGATTAAATAATTAATTTGATGTGGATCGTTTAATTTAATACGCTGTTAATAAACTACATTTGATATTTAAGGTGTGTATGTTATTTACATTTTCATGTTTATTGTGTTTTTTTTATTATCTTTTTGGTATTTGGCATTGAAATAGGATGGTACTAAAACTACTAATAGGATGGTACTAGACTACTAGCTAGATAAAATCCGTGCAAATGCTCGATTTTTCAAATAATGTTAAATATATAGAACTTTTATATTTTTCTAAATTTAATTGTCATGTAAAATTTCGTTTTCATGATGACCCTCATAATTTAGGAGTTGGATTGAATAATTTAATTGGGTAAAAACATCCCTACATCCCTTCATATTAGAAAGATGATCGAGTTTTAACCTCTTGAAACCATGTAAGCAGAGCTATATAAACATTAAAAAAAATGGTGATTATAAAGGTTGTTCAATCACCCAATAGGTCAATTGGCTATTTAAGGAAAATGTTGTTTTGCATAAATTATATACAAAGTATATAATATATTGATTTTTCATATTACAAAAGTTATGTGGCATGAAAACCCTTTTGCACGTACAATGTATAAAATTAAGTTACAACGAACCATAGCTTCTACAAATCGACACACATATATTTTGGTTTTTTTGAGGATATACATATATTTTGGTTGAATTTGTTGTATTCTACCACATGACATTTACAACACTAGTAGGAGATTTTTGCAAATTAATATCAACCAACAATACACCGACCTTTTGTATATTCCAATTCATACATCATTTCAAATTTTATTATTCAAATATACGTATAAAGTTATTTATAATTCAAATATACATAAAGTATACCGAACCAAAAAAAATCGTGAGAGTTGAGGTATGGTTAGTGCCTTTCTCCTTACCTAAATTTTTTTTTAAAACAAAAAAAAAAGCACTGATATATATTACTTGGTTCATATCTATCATATCACCATCTATTTTTTTTTTTTTTTTTTTTTTTTTTACGAACACCATCTACTTATGGCCTGTTCTCATACGTTGAAATTCAATTAAGTTCAGTTCAGTTTTGCTCAGCTCAGCTCAGTTCAGTTCAGCTCAGCTCCTAATTTCCTTCTTTTATAAAATATTCAGTTCAGTTCAGTTCAGCTGAGTTCAGTCAATGAGAACAGGCCCTTACTTGATTCTTACATCATATCGAAAATATAATCATAACCTACAATTATATTATAAAGTATATAATATTAAACTTATTACATTGCAAATGAAATATGAACACCTATAATTTAGATACGATGCATAATTAACTTAGCACCAAATTGAGGACGAAGAGTTCCAAAACCTATAGTAGGAGCATGAAAATAGGATGGAGAGAGCTCAAAGGAGAATCGTTGCAAAATCATTGCCAATGCCATCTTAGCTTCCATCATCGCGAAATTCGATCCAATGCATATACGAGGCCCCCATCCAAATGCAAAGAAACACATATTATTTCCTTTTGTGGCCTTCAAAAGTCCTTGTGAAAATCTCTCCGGATTAAATTCCTTTGCATCAGTACCCCATAATTTTTCACTATGATGAATAAAAATAGTTGGCAAATTAACATGTACACCCGCCGGTAGAACCATATCGCCTACTCTCATTTCACGGCTAATCTTTCTGCTTAGGGAAAATACCGGCGAATATAGTCGTAGAACCTCGTGTAGTATCATGTTCACCTAAACAAATTAATTAAAGCTCATAATAAATCAACATTTAATTTTTTACATAATAAATCAACATTTAATTTTTTACATAATAAATCAACATTTAAGCTATATATGGGTTAATTGATCAAATAATATTTAATTTTTCAAAATTTTTTTTACAGTTAATTATAATACTGTATTACGTACTAATAAATCAATCAACATATATTATTTCATATGAACTTTTTTACGTACCCTTCTTATATATATACAATTAATTAATTAGTGATAAATATTAAGTGGAAATAACTAATTAGCCAATAAAAAAAAATAGATGGGTTAATTAAGGCGGTAACCTAGATTATATCTTGTGTACAATATGCAAGATGTATATGATGCATGGTTAAAACAATTAACTAGCTTAGCCTATTTACTCGTATATACTTTTGATACACATCTTTGATATATATTGTGATTACCTAACTAGTCTGCAGCTCGATTAGCTTAATTATCTATGAATATGTATACAAAATCACAGACATGTATATATACATACCTTTTTGAGTTGGATTAAGCCATCAACATGAGGTGTATTGTGACCGAACGTGGCGAAAATCTCTTCTCGAGCTTGTTCTTGCCAATTTGTGTGTTTGCTTAGCAAAACAAGAGTCCATACCAACAACGACGAAGTGGTGTCTTGTCCGGCAACATAGAACATTTTGCACTCTTCAATAACCTCTTTCATACTCATCTTAAATTGTTGTTGTTTGTTATCATTTCCATGTAATAATTGATGATCTTGTACTCCTTCTAAGTTCGATTTTAGCAATAACCCTAACAAGTCATCTTTAGCTGCTTCACCATTCTCCATTGTTTTTTGCCTCTTTTGAATCATATCTTTTAACAATGATTCCATTTCATTGACGATTTTCGCCTCCCTCTTGTTTGTTTTAGTAGGAAGAAACCTAGAGACGGACCAAGTATGTACCAAAGATGAGAAACCTTAATCAATCTATGTCTCAGCTAGCCAAAGATCTACTCGATTAGCTAGCTAAGGTTTATCATGTTATTGTTGTGTATTCGAACGTTCTAATAGTGGTTGTTTGAAAAATGACTACCATTTTATTTTAACAATAAAACTTATATGATCAGGTTTTTATTATTATTATTTGAAGGAAAAACCATCAATTATTTTTATATGATCGGTTCATTTTTATTAAATTTATTAATTTATTATTTGAAAAAAAAAATCAATCATAAAGTGCATAATCATTAAAATACTATGATTGTCATAATTCAATCGACCACTACTGTATAAAACTTTCTGTGAGGAACCCTTTGAAATGAAAGAAAAGTACCTGGATCCAGGAATATAAACTGACTGCATGGCTTGTACAGTAATACAAGTATGCTCTCTTAAAAGTTCAAACACTCTCCTTCCTTCTTCAAAACTACTTCCAAATGCAGCTCGAGAGATTGCATCTGCCGAAAGATTGTGTAAAAATGACCACATTTCTACCTCTTGAGATCCCGTTTCGGGTGTCGTCTTCTCCCATTCTTGGATCATCTCATTGCAACTCGCATGAAATGCTGGTACCATAAGCTACAAAAAATAATTCAAAGTTGTAACAAAATGCATATTATGAATTGTAATTGAGAAAATATTAAAATGGTCATGCATATTATTCTTTGGTACATCAATAATGATTTATTACAAGGCGTGTCGACCCTAAGTTTTGATGATGACTCAAGGAACCTAAGCAAATCATACCTAGCTTAACTTCTATTTTAGCTTTTATTATTGACAGGTGTATGCTACGAAATTCTAGAGTAAGAATGAAGCATGGTTCAAAATCTAAGTCTGCTATGGAAGGATAAAGAAGCCAATCAGATGTCAAGTTCCTTGAGGGAGGACCTGAAGCTCCAGAGTTGAAGCTTCAAGACGACGAGTTCCTTGAG